AATAATTTTAATATTACAAAGGACATGTAATACCACGTTTATATTTGCAGGGCATACGAATCCCTCTTGTATGGAAGAAGCAGAGCTACATTTGCCAGCAAAGGTAAGAGGTTCTTCAGCTGATAGTCTGAGAGGGGCAAGGAGTGTCCATTGGGGAACACTGAGGCCTCTGAGTCACCTCCATTACCACCCCACTTTGTTTCCCCCGGCATTTGGATGTAGCACCACCTGAGTCGTCTTCTGCAACCTTAAGCCCTTCCCATTCTAGTCCATTTCTCTCTTCTAAACCCTATTGCTCCTACAGTTTGTATCAGAGTTTTGTACTTAGAATTTATTCTCTGGGTTTTTTTTTAAATAGGTTTTTGTCTCATAATCTAAATTTCCTGAATATGATAATCTTTTTTCAAATTTAAAATTGACTTGATATACTATGTATACTGTTTTAAAGATTTATCCATAAATGTTAACTTAGGTCATGTTTGTTTGTCTTCTAAGATAACTGGCCATGAAGCCTTTCTTTTCTCCCTCTCTTTAAACATAATATTTTATTAATGGGAAAATTTCATACATGCAGATAAGGTATTTTGATTGTATTCACTTAAGTTTTCCCCCTTAACCCCTCCAAGATCAACCCCTACCCTCAACTCCTCCTCTCAACTTCAACCTCTGTCCTCTTTTTTTTTTTTTTTTAAGCCTACTAATTCAAATTTGTGCTGTCCATAGACTCATGGTGTGGGGCCATCCGATGGAGACTAGGCAACCTACCAGGGCCATACCTTTCTGAATGTCTGTTCCCCAGAAGCCATCAACTGTCAATAGAGCCTAAGCAGCAATGTGGGCTGGCTTGATCTTGTACAGGTCTTATGTAGGCAACCGCAGTTGCTATGTGTTCATGAGCACAGCATTCCTGAGGCATCCAGAAGACAATGTTTCTGTTTGCTTGTCCCCAAGCCTCAGCTCTAACAATCTTCCCACTCCCTTTTCCACAATGGTCCCTAAATCATGGGGTAACAGGTAAGGGACGAACACTCCATTGACAATATACCTAGTTGTGAATGTCTGCATTAACTGCATTCATTGCACAAGGGTCAAGGCAGGGTTTCTAGTCAAGCGCCTGCCAGTAACAGATGTTTAACTTTAATTGAGTCATCTCATGTATCGGGGCAACAGTTTTGTAACTGTAAAATAAAAATTTTACAGCTTTTCATAGATGTATTTCCTAAAATATATTCTGTGGAACACATGCCTAATGATCTGTTCCAGGAGTGAAAGGGCTTCATAGGTGTACACACTTGGGACATGCTGTATCTAATACCTGTATGAGAACTTCACAGGGCACATTACTGCAAAAGTCCTTTGGTTGAGAAATCCACTGAACTTTGCTTATCATCTTTCACTTGTTTGGTTAAAGGAACTCAAAATTACTTTGGAAATCCTGCCTACAGTATTAGTCAGGGCTCTCTAAAGTAACAGAATTTATATTATAGAATGAGTAGAATGAGTGCCTCTCTTTCTCTCTCTCTCTACACACACACACACACACACACACACACACACACACACACACACACTATTAGAATATCTTATAGGCTGTGGTCCAGCTTGCCCAACAATGGCTGCTTATGAATAGAAGTTCCAAGAATCCAGTAGTTGTTCAGTCCATGAGGCTGGATGTCTCAGCTGGAATTCTGAAAGATGTAGGCTTTAACATCAATGGGGTGGGGGTAGGGAGAGAATTGCTAGCAAACAAGAGGGCAAGCAGGCAAAGAGAGAGAGAGAGAGCTTCCTTCTTCCATGTTCCATGTTTTTAATACAAGCTGCCAGAAGATTGTGTAGTCCAGGTTAAAGGTGGGTCTTCCCACCTCAAAAGATTTGGATTAAAGACTTACCTTCCCACCTCAGATATCCAGATTAGAAGTGAGTCTTCCCACTTCAAATGATTCGGTTAAAAGTCACTCAAAGGTATGCCCAGTTATTGGGTTTTAGTTAATTCCAGTTGTAGTCAAGTTGGCAACCAAGAATAGCCATCACATCTATTAAAATCCCACGAAGCCACTGTCCTTAAGAACACACTTTGCAGAATAATGGACTAAGAAAACTTTGAGGTGTCTATTTCGTGTGTGTGTGTGTGTGTGTGTGTGTGTGTGTGTGTGTGTGTGTGTGTGTGTGTAGATGTACAGGCACTCCACAAGATCTCTAATTGTACCTGGGGCTTATGCAGGTCTCAAGATTAGCTGACCAGTAAACTTCAGGGGCCCTCCCACTTCCATCTCCCAAGCCCAGGTTTTTACATGGGTGCTGAGCATTTGAACTAAGATCGGCATCTTTGCCCTGTAAGCCCATTACAGACTGAGCTTCCAGCCTCCTATGGTAATATCTTCATGTATAAGTATTCAGCCAGGTTCCTCCTTCTGCATTCTTATTTCATGGAGGGTCAGTGTCACACAGTCAGTCTCCCCAGACAGAAGTTGCTTGTCTTGTAGAGGTTTCTGTCTCTTTCAGTCTGCCAGTCAATTCTACATGAAAGTCTGCAGATCCCACCTTAATATTTCCCTCACCCAAGTACCCTCCCCACTGCACCCCCTGTGCATCTGTGGAGACCTGTAGCCCAGCTCATCTAAGTTGTTTTAACCCTCTTTTTGCTTTCATTCTTCAGTCAGTTTTCTCTGGTCTTTGGACATATACATGGTTGTTACAGAGACTAAAACACTTCAAAGAGTTTATTCTTTATTAAGTTTAAACTCCTTAGTATGGCACACTGAAGTCCTTTCTACCATTCCCCACCTATTCGAACTCTCTCTGCATCTGTCTGGAGGAAATGGAATTACTTGGAAGGGCATGATGCTATTAAAGTTCATGCACCTTCACTGACGTTGATGCCTTTGTCTGGAATGACTGTTCCCTCCTTATCCGGTTAGCTCCTCCCTGTCATTAAACATGTAGTTAAACTGGGTAGGCTTTCTTGATCTGGGAATAGACTCACTTTCTAAGAGTGGCTTCCCTACCTCCTTTATCCAGCAGCCTGAGACTTCTGAGAACAGGATGCATTGAGTCTTTCTTGTCTTTGCAGTCTTATAGATTAGTTGGAACTCAATAGACTCTAGGTGAATGGATTATTTCATGACTTAATGAAACTGATGAGAACCTGCTTATTTTTCTCACTGGTAGAAAGGGACTGTTTTCTAAGATTAGCCTTAAACAACCTAAAAACTCAGGAAAGAGCTGGCTAAGAGCTATCCAAAGAGCACTCAGGAGCCTGCTTTGTAAAGGTTTCCATACAAATGAGACTCTTCCTTGTAATGCTCACATTTAGTCTAGTAATAACATTTGACAACAATAGGCTACTTATTAGGTTTTCAAATCTAGGTGTTTTTATCTCAGCAAACCTAGTCACAAGGGAATGAAGAGGCTACAGACACATTTGTATGAATTGTTTTGTTTTGAGACAGGGTTTCACTATGTACCTCTGGCTGTCCTAGAACTCATTCTGTAAACCAGGCTGATCTATTAATTATTGATTAAATATTTCGAAGGGTTCGTTATTCATACAAAGGTTCACAGTAGATATTGCAGGAGCATAAGAATGAATAAATTGTATGATATTCATCAAGGGGAAAACATAGCATACTGAAATAATTACAGGTAATAAACGATGAATTCAACAAGGAGACAGGTCATGGGAATTGGTCACCTCCATGATTTTTAGTTTAGGAGATGGTGTTAATTTACATCAGATTATTGAAGTACTTACTAAACTTAAAATACAAATTGCATGTATTTCCAAAGGTTAGGTATCTCCAGTGTGAAACAGCTAAATAATTGTATTGTACAGTTCTAAATACCAGTTTGGAACAGATTGTTCACCAGGTCAGAATAGACTGTACAAAAAGACTGAAACCACTTGTAAATTCTCAAGAATATCAGGAAATATAATTCAATTAATCAAACTAGGATTTGGTCCTAGCATAGAGAAATGAACACTCATTCTTAGAAAGAGCTAGAATTTCAGAATTACGTGATTTTTTTTTTGGGGGGGGTGAAAATTCAAAATACAGAAACTGTTAAAGAGCAGACAGGAAGACATGAAAAAAGAATGCTGACCATTCAACGCGGCCAGTTCCAGATCATAGTTCAATCTCTTTAATGCTATCAAAGTATATGGCCAAGCAAAGGCAATTTAATACTATTTTTCCTTTCCTTCGATCAACTTTACACGAAGGTCATAATAAGGACGTAAATCGAAAGATATCTAAGCCTGCCTAAGTCGAACCTGCATTAAAATAAGCAGCATCGAGTAATTTGGAGCTTGGAATCAAACTCAGTTTTTACTTGTAATCAATCCTTAGGGATACAGCTCTGGGCTAAGGAAAGATGCCAACACCCGTACTGCGAACAATTTCGATAGGGAGGACAGAAACTGGGGACAGAGACCGGCTTTGACATGGAAAGGTACAGATGAGCAGAATGTCTGATCCCTGAAAGCTACCCATACACTGCCCGAAACTGCAGAGTTAAGGACTAAAATGGGATTTTTAACAATGGTCCGTGGATGCCTGAGGCAGCCCGGGGCTGGTTTCTGGAGACTGAGGACGTGGACGGCAGGCAAAGGCGCACAGCGCGGGACCGGTGTGCTCGCCGCCCCTCGGCCTCCCAAGGCGGGAGCCACGGGGCCGGCTTCCCGGGAAGGGCCACGGAGGGCGGGACCGCGGCGGGATTTTCCTTTCGGCTCATTCATTCTCTAATTCACTGGTTCCAGGAGGAGGCTCGCGGGGACGCGCGCAGGAAAGGCGGGGAGCGGAGGCCGGCCGCGGCTGGGTGCGGCCCGGCGCCTGAGGGGCGGCCGGCGGTGGCGGGCGGGGGAGTAGGGGGCGCCCGGCCAGGCCGCGAGGGAGGGGCGCGCGCGTGCGCGCGAGCGGGCGGGCGGCCCGAGAGGCGCGCGCCGCCGCCCTGCGCCGGAAGTGAGCCGGTGGCCGCGGCGCGGGGAGGGGAGGCGCGCGCGCGCGCGGCCGGGCGCGAGTCGGTCCGCCCTTGGGCCGCACGGCCCTCAGCCCCGCCCTGTGTGCCGGGGCCGGACGCGCGGGCTCTGTGATCCGCGCCGCGGGCCTCTGCGGCCGCCCCGCCCAGTCCCCGCCGACGCCCGCTCTGTGGGTCGGTCAGTCAGTCAGTCACGGAGCGCGCGCCGCGGGAGCTGCGGGCGCTCTCGGCGTTTGGGAGAGGAGCGTCGCGCCTGGGGAGGCGGCGGCGACCCGAGGGCGCGAGCAGCTGCTGCCTCGCGCGGGGCCCCGGGAGGGCCGAGGGGCTGCCACGGTGAGTGCTCCACCGCCTGGCCCTCGAGGTCGGGGGGCGAAAGGGAGGACCCGGCTGCCCCGGAGACGCTGCCGCCTCCATTTTCCCGGCGCCTGGAGTGGCCCTCCGGGCGAGTGCGAGCGGCTGCAGTCCGGGGCGGGGTCGATGCCGGGCTCTCCGCGTTTGGGCTGCGCCCAGCCAGGCGGCCTGCAGTGGGTAGGGGTCGGCGGGGCCTGGGCTGGCTGTCCCCTGCGCCCCTCGGGGCTGCACCGTGCAGACAATGAGGCCGGGCTGGGGGGCACCTGGGTAGGTGCAGCGGGGCTTCTACTCCGCGCTAGGCACTGGTGGCCGGGGACCGCGCGCGGCTGGAAAGGGACTAGCCGCGGATAGCCGCAGAAACCGGTGGCTCGATGCCGGATTGTTCTAGCTTCCTAGCCCTGCCCGCCTTCCCAGATGAGTTCAGTGCAGAGATTTAGAAAGGCGGGGCGCCTTCTCGGTCTTCTAATTAAGCCGGCAAAGTAATTGCTCTAGTGCTTTTTAGCCCCAGCTCATCTTTTCTGCGTACATTCCCGCCGGAAATCCAAACTGCAGTTCAGTGGAAGACGGCAGAAAAGGCAGGAGGCTGCCGACTGGTATGGGTAGGATGCCTTGGTTTTGAGACGCCTGGAAGATACCCTTTTCCTATTCAGACATTGTCTTAGAATGGCCCCACTGTGGGAACTGGAGACTGCTTAACCCTTAGGTAGGCATAAAGATGTGACTTAGTGTGGAATGAGAGCGCTGGAAAATGATACAGGAGCCGCATGGTTCCTGTGTGGTGCATTTCATACATCTGTGGGAAGAACAGTTTGGAGTGGATGCTGTCCGCATCGTTTCTCCTAGAGAAGTGAAGAGCCACCCTAGTAGGTAAAATCCTCCGTACATGAACTGTAAAGGTAGCGGGCTAGGGGGGCGACGTGATTTGATTATTAAAGGGTGACATTACCTTCGTTAGACTATTGAAGTCAGCAAAAAATTGCTAAGAGCTACTTAGGGACAGTGGGAGACACAAAACGAACATCTCCACAACACCGAATGGCAGAAACGGCGCGTTGGAATAGAATAAACCAACGCGCCATACACTGGAATAAGCTAGCAACGTGATTGTGGCTAAGCAAGCCTTTAATTCTGCAGTAGTTCCCTGCTGGTAAACAGCACTACACCACCACCTGTTTACCTTTCCAGCCTGTTGTTAAGGTTGGATGAGATAATGTATGCAAAATCAGTAGCCCCTTGCCTCTCTGAGAGTTGCTCAGTACTTGTTAACCCTTTTCCTACTGCTGGGGGTGGGGTGTCGACCTTATGGGAGGGTGGGTCAGAAGTGAATATTGGTCACAGTGCATTGTAGAGACATAGCATAAGACAGTGAAGGAAAGGTTAAATCTGCATCGAGGTCAGTGGGGGGGGGGGAGTCTGTGGAAGCTGCCAGTATATAGGTGGACCCTTTTAAAAGGTTGAATAATATTTCTTTTAAAAATGTTTTATTAGCACCTATTAATTTTACGTAATAATGGGTTTCATCGTATTTTCATATATTTCGATTTCAACAGTACCGGTGGGATTTCAGCAATGTAGAGTGGGAGAAAAAGACATCCCACATGTAGTGGTCATTATCCTAAAAGAGCTGGATTCAGGAGCTAGACATGGTGGATCATGCCCATAGTCTCTGCACTCTGGAGGCTGAGGCAGGAGGATTGCAGTGCTGTCCAGATCAACCTGAGGTACAGAATGAGACCCTTTCCAAAAGACCAGCTCCCTTCCCCCCAAAAAAATCTGAATTCTCTAAGAAGAACCTTGGAGAAGTGGCAAAATAAGTCTTTGTTTGGTTTGCTCTGTTGAAATAAATACAGAGCTTCATCATGACTTTTTTTTTTTTTTTTTTTTTTTTTTTTTTTTTTTTGTTCCAGCAGATGTTTTGTGGTATTTGGATTTCTTCTCACTTCTGTTTGATTTTAATGAAGAACTATGTGTAGCCATTTCTTTATGAAGAGTATTAGTTCTATTTAGTAGTCCATACTGACAGATTCTTCTGGTCTCACCATGATTACAGTTAGTGTCTGGCTGATAGTAGTGGAGTGCCAGATGTTTTTTGAGAATATTTTCAGTTTTCAATGCTTTGTTTTCTGGCCAGGTTTTTTAAACCATCATTTTTGAGGATAATTGTGTTGGTTTTGGTTCTCTCCAAATAAATAAATAAATACATGCTTAATGGACTAGAAACAAAGACAGCAGATTCTGGGGTATACATTTTCTTTGGTTTGGAAGTTGTAAATGTCAACATTGGTTTTATCCCAGACTGTTTCTTCAGGAAAAGTAATATTCATGGAGTATGGTATGTAACCTCAGGCTAACTGTTGAGTTCTTAAAATTTCTTTACCTGTTATATTAGGAGCTTGGAGTAAGTTACTGGTTTTCACATGTTATTTCTTACTGACTACTTATAGAAAGTACATAGAGTAGTCAGAGACATAGAGATAAAGTAAGAAAGTTGCTACTAGAAGCTACATAGATGAAGTTACTGTTTAACAGGTAGCATGTCTGCTTGGGATTGTGAAAAGGTCTGGAAATGGACAGTGTAACAGTTACACAATAACATGAACTTTTTTTTCCTCCTGGAGGCAGGGTTTCTCTGTGAAGCCCTTACTGTCTGTCCTCTAACTTGCTTTGTAGACCAAACTGGCCTCAAACTTAAGCTAATCACTTTAGCCTATTTATTTAAATTTTCTTAACACATTAGAGATCCAAAAGACCTACAGATTCAAGCTACTGTTACTATCTCTGTGATAACGTGTGAGTTTTAAATGAACAAATGATAGGAAACTTAATAGACTGGAGACTTTTTAAAACTTCAGTTTGTGTACTGTTTATTCATCTAAAATTGTCTCAACATATTACTATGGCTAGTGCACTCTGTTCAATTAAATAAACAAAATCAAACATTTCTATGGGGGTGTACTTATTCTGTTTAAGTCATTGCTTGTTAAAAGTCACAATGAACATTTAACAATAAGTTCTGATAGCATATCATAATGTTTTCGTAGCTCATTGTGTTTCTGTTTTTGCCTTGTGTCTTAAGGACTGTTGTAGTGCTGTGAAGAGATACGATGACCTTACTCTTACAAAAGAAATCATTGAATTGGGGGCTTGCTTAAGAATTTTGAGAAGCTAAGATTGGTAGCTTGTGCCTTCAGGGACCCAGGTAGGATTTTGAGTTTGAGTACAACCTACCTCATGAGACTGCCTCAAAACAAAACAAAAAGAAGAGCTGGCTTACAATTTCAGAGGCTTATTCCATTATCATCATGGCAGGGAGCATGGTGGTGTGCAGGCAGACATGGTGCTGGAGAAGTAGCTGAAAACTCTTTCCTGATCCACAGGCAGCAGACAGAGAAATGTTGGGCCTGCCATGGCTTTTAAAACTTTAAAGCCTATCCCCCAGTGACATATTTCCTGCAGCAAAACCACACCTCTTAATCCTTCCAGACAGTTTCACTCCTAGTGATTAAGCCTTCAAAATATGTGAAACTGTAGGGGTAAATTCCTTCTTATTCAAACCATCACATTGTACTTCCTGGCTCCCATAAGCTTATAGCCATACCATAATGCAAAAATGCATTCAGTCCAACTTAAAAAGCCCCCATAGTCTATCATAGTTTCAACATTGTTTAAAAGTTCACTTTCTTCTGAGACTCTTGACAATCTGTAACCCCCTGCAAATCAAAATTAAAACGAAGGTCACAAACTTCCAACATACAATGGCACTGGACATACATTACCATTTCATAAGGAAGAAAAGGGAGCATAGTGAGGAAATACTGGACTAAAGCAAGACCAAAACCAGCAGTCAAACTCAAAATTCTTCATATCCATGTCTGATCAATGGGCTGTTCGGATCTCCCTTGTTGACTGCAACACACTTCTCTTTGTTGGGCTGGCTCCACACCCAGTCTGCAGCTCTTCTAGCAGGTGTCTCAAGGCTTTAGCATCTCCAACCCCATGCAATCTCCAACACGATCCATCTTCATCTTCACAGCCTTACGAAATGGCTTTTCTGGGCTTCTTTGCAGGCACAACCCTGACACACACCTGGCCTCAGCAACTTAGCCTAGGGAGATTCTGCAATCCCTAACTCCCCTTGCCTCTATAGCCAGAACCAGAAGGTAAAGCTGCTAAGTTCTGCTGCTTGATGGGGCTGGAACTTGGCCCCCTCTTGAATAACATTTGCATCAACTTTCCATTGCTGATGGTTTCATTTGCTGCCTAAACTTTCCTTTAATTGCTTTTTACAGATTGGAAGCTGAGCTGGGTGGGTCTTGTCCTGAAGTCACCACTCCCTTTATTCCATTTAGCAGCAGATTTTTCTTTCAGCTTTTTATCTCCTTAATCACTAGACTTAGCTCCATTACATTTACTGGTGCTCCTTTTCTCAAACTGTACATTTTGTATTTCTGTCCAGTTTGTGCCTCTTCATTATAGATCTGCCTGAGAGTGTTTACTAATAACCACATGACACAGTCAATACTAAGTTGTCTTGAAATTAATCTCAAAGTTTTCAATGTAGCTTCAGACAGATTTTTAGAACAAGGCAAAAAACAGCTACAAGTCTGTTCTCTAGCAGCTACAAGAATTTCTCTAGGCTACTTATGAATATTCTTTCCTTCTGAAATGTCATGTGATGGGCCTCCACAGTTCAAATCACACTCAGCACTGTCTTCTGTGCTCCTACTAGGATGGTCCATTAAGCCTCACTTAAAGCATCCAGTCACTTTTCTAGTCCAAAGTTCCAAAGTCTTCCATATTCCTTAGGCAGACAGCATGGTCAGACCTATCACAACCATACCCCAGTCCCAGCAACACCTTTTGACTTAGTCACTGGTTCTAGTGTTGTGAAGAGAAACATGACCAAGGCAACTCGCAGTTCAGAGGCTTAGACCATTATTGTCATAGCAGACAGCATGGTGGCAGGCAGTCCTGGCTGTCCT